TAGAACTTCTTTTCTTCTACGACCCAGCGGAGAGCAGGAAGGTAGATGAGATTTTACTCTTTGAGGAAAAAGAAGGCGGCAACCAGAGCACCGTTCAGTTTGGGCACCGTCGAAAGAGGCTGCCACCAAAGCAAAAACACCTTGAAGTGCGCGTTCTCGACGACCAGGCGACTGGACTGCTCTTTGTGCAATGTGCTCCATTTGAGGGTGGTGCCCACGCTTTGACCTGGTGCGTCCAGGACATCGAGGTGAAGAACCGCAAGGAGTGGTTCACCTCAAACGTCTGGTCGTCCTCAGCAGCATCAGCATCAAATGGAGTTTCAGAATCACCAAATTTCGTCAGCGCCACTCAGGTGTCCATCACCGTAGTGGAGGTTCCCATGCAGGCAATTGAACTCCCTCAAAACAGCACCTCATCAAAAGCAGAGGACACTATTGTCTCGCTGCTTTTTGTTGAAAGTGCTCACGTCTCTGTAGTGCTCGCGAAGCTAAAGGAAGACCAGGGCAGAAGTGGATATCCGGTTCGCTGGCGACGGCTGAACGGCTTCATCAACCGCCAAGACGGGAACAGCGGAAACGGTCTGGTGGTCCTCTTTGCCGACAACTTTGTGTACACCTTTGAAGACCGCTACGGCTCCAATCGGTACCTCTTTACGCTGGACTTGTGGACTGAGCTGGGCGGAACTCCTGCAACCTCCTTTCCTTTTGCCGTCTTTGCCGCTCTTAAAGTTCCTAAAGAACGGTACTTTAGCTGCAATGGAACTCTATTTCCGGATCGTCTGAAACTGCTGTTACTGCTCAGCGGAAACGGAAGTTTAAAGGATGAACCCCTTTTTGGTCGTGCGGCGCTCATCTACGCCCTCTTCCTCGCCCACTTTTTTGTCGCCGCAGTGATGATCTGCACCATCGTTTGCATGACCGCCTGTGAAATGACCGGTAAAGAAGGGAAAAAGTTGGGTAAACTGAAAGGTAGGAAAAGAAGAAGTGAAAAGCGCGTTCGCAAGGGCTACCGCTTGACGCCGCCGTCGGAAAGAGGACAACTGCTGAAAACTACTTCCGGAACAGGAAAAGGGAGCGTGAAAAGCAAAAGCTTCAAATCTGAATACAGCAGCAGCCAAAGCAGAAGTTCCGTCACCAAGTCTGCTTCTGTTTCAGCGTCAGCGTCAGCGTCAGCAAGCTCAAAAAGCTCTCAGCGCAAATACATTCAAAGTGGACCACAACAAAAGAGCAATTTTAGCAGCCGATCCTCCGATCAGCAGCAAACTCAAATGAGTTTCGCCCTCTAAAAATAATTTTGCTCACACTGAAACTCATTTCATTTCATCTCCTCTCTCTTCAGAGACGTGAAGACTTTAGAATTACTACTAATTAAAAGTGTCGTAGTACCGAAGAGAGCAGTAGACGTGTACTTTAACTGACTGTGAGAAGACCGGGGATTATCTTGCCAGCTATCCGTTTTCGTGCCCAAACACTTTCCCAACCAGGAAAGTCGGTGTCACCAAAAGACAGACAGTAAAAAGAAAGAGCATCTAATTGCACTTTCAGGTACATTCCCCAACTACAACTGTCACCTAAAGTACTCGTCTGTGAGAAATAGCGATAGCTGCTGAGGCAACGACCAGGCAATGCTGCTGCCGCCGTACAGCAGNACAGTAAAAAGAAAGAGCATCTAATTGCACTTTCAGGTACATTCCCCAACTACAACTGTCACCTAAAGTACTCGTCTGTGAGAAATAGCGATAGCTGCTGAGGCAACGACCAGGCAATGCTGCTGCCGCCGTACAGCAGTGCTGTACAGTCGCAATGGCAATGCAAGTGAAGGAGGAGGAGGAGGAGGAAAATGTGCTCAGAAAGAGGAAAACTGTCTGTGATTCACAGGCGCGCGTTTTACAGCCCGGCCAGCCAGACAGCCAACAGCAAAAAGTTTAAAGGCAGGCCGAGTCGTAGGCAGTCACAGTTCCCATCCATTCATCGATTCATTCCCTGCAGTGCACCGAGCGACACCAAAACACACAGACACCGCCGTTTGACAACAAACGACTGAACGACTTTTTGACCGAAGCATAATCTTAGCGGCTCAAGAACCCTTTTGCAATCTTATTAACCAGCATAAACATCTCAACAACAACAATGGCCGACGACTGGAAGAACAAGTCGAGCATCTACGAGTTCACCGCAAAGGACATTGACGGCAATGAGGTAAGAGAAGAGCTTGAAAAGCTGAAATCTTCTAGAACATTCCAATAAAAATCTTTCTTTTCAGGTTTCTCTAGAGAAGTACAAGGGTCACCCGACCATTATTGTCAATGTGGCTAGCAATTGTGGCCTGACCAAGAACAACTACGCCCAGCTGAATGAGATTTACGAGAAGTACGAAGGCGAGGGCCTGCGAATTGCCGCCTTCCCCTGCAACCAGTTCGGTGGACAGGAGCCGGGCTGCGAGGTGGACATTAAGGAGTTCATAAAGAAGAAGAAGATCAACTTTGACATGTACTCCAAGGTCGATGTGAACGGCGACAATGCCATTCCGCTGTACAAGTGGCTGAAGGCGCAGCAGGGCGGTTTCCTGGGCTTTGACGGCATCAAGTGGAACTTCAGCAAGTTCCTCGTTGACGCAGAGGGCAAGGTAAGCTTTCTGTTGTTTTGTTTTCAAAATTTGAGTTTCTAACCTCTTATATTTTAGCCGATCAAGCGTTACGCGCCCACCACCGAGCCAAAGTCGATTGAGGGGGACATCAAGAAGGCGATTGACGCGGTCAAATCCAAATAATCGACCGAGTATTTGTTACCTGTGGCTCTCAATCATGTGTTTTCCATTGTGTGAATCAGTCAACACCAACAACAGCCGCTTCATCTAATCATCAACATCAAATCATCTCTACCAATATTTGCTCTCCGGTCCTCCAGTGATTGAACAACACACACACACTTCAGGCTATTCCCCCTCCAAATACCTCTCTCTCACACACTTGTGCCTGTCTGTAATCAACACCAACACCAACAACAAATATTTGATAGTATTCCAAGGCAACTGCTATAGCACTACTTGCACTTCTCTCCTCTCAACCAAAATTACAATAAAAACACTCAAAACATCAGAAAACAACA